GGGGGGGGGGGTCCGCCGTGGCGGCTCTCTGACTTCTCGAGGTGGGAGTCACGGAGAACCTGAGGAACGCCGCTTCTACGTTCACGATCGACAGTCAAGCGCGGAAAGCCGTGGACGATAGTACGAGTGAGAGAGCTTTGCTCCTTGCTCTCCGTGCTGCATTGTTCAAGGTGTGCGTGGATACGTGTTGCTCGCATGCGTGCGTGCATACGTGCGTGCATACGTGCGTGCGTGCGCTCGTGTTGATGCTGGACGCCGTCGGAGCGCATCGCTGTGTGACTGTGCGTGGGTGCGTACGTACATAGGTGCGTGCGTGCGTGCGTGCATGCGTGCTTGCGGCGGGGAGAGCGCGCCTCACGGATGACTTCGGTAAGTGAGCGTTTCGCGTCCTGTTGGCCAATTCCCTGGAACGCGACGCGGTGAAATTGCATAAAGGGATTTTGCGCGATTCGCCTTTCCTCCGGCTGTTGCGTCATCGATGTCGGGTGAACGACGTTGGGCCGCGTTTGCGACACAATTGCGAATTTCAGGCATTTAATCGGAGGTTCCGATTACGCGTTAACGCGCAGTTCTGGTTGGTCCATTTGTTTTACTTCGATCAAATACTTTGTGAGTCTTATGAGAAGAATATTGCAGGAATTTGTAAGAACAGCAAAATTGTTCTTTTAAACTCTTGTTTCGAACAATACAAGCTCGAAACTTATCAAATTTTATCAGTCGAAACTTATAAGATATTTTTCTCATAAATTTATAATTCATAACATGTTTTTACTTAAATTTATTTTAATAAGGTGTCATATTAACTAACTTCATATTACTGGTTGTATTTATCATCTAATTTAATAAACGTAGCAATGTTTCACGGATTTGCAAGAATTACAACAAAACTATAAGTCTTTCTTTAATCTGTTGTTTATATAGAACAAACTTAAAACTTATCAGTCAAAATTTATAAATATCAAAATTTATAAATTTATAATTTACAACATGTTTTTACTTATATTAAATTTATCTTAATTTATATTAAATTTATATTAAATTTATCTTAAATTTATGTCTTAAATTTATATTCAATTAATATTAAATTTATCTTAATAAAGCGATCCAACACACATTACCGATCGTAATCATTTTATCAATTTAGTAACTTGATATTTAGTTGTGGAAGACTGGCAGTTGGTTGAAGAACTCGCAGGATTCGCGCCATTGCTAAGACTTCGGCAAGACGTTCTGATCTTTTAGAGTGATTTAAATGCCCTTCGGACTTCGGATATGTATGCAATCACGGGTATCGTCACGAATGCGGGAACATCGTTCTTCGAAATCGTCGTCGAGTTTATCGTTGTCATTAGACGCGCGAGAATCCGGTTACCGAGCTGCCCTGAATCGAATTGGAGTCGATCGAACGTACACCCGACGAGGCATACGATTATGAGACGCGTGTAGTTGTATTTGTATTTTGTTATATTTTGGCAAGGAAGTCATGCTGGTACACTGAAGCGAACAAGATGTATGAGGAAGGAAACAAGGGAAAAGCTAAGAATGTTTGACAGTGTGAATGCACTCGTCAAGATTCTTTTAGTTTAATGTATACTTAGTATTAAAATAGTTTGAACACTTTATCCTCAATATGTGAGGCAACTTGTTATCAAATACTCTCAAGATTCAAATCATAGAACACGAAGTACACCTACACTCAGAGGAAAAGACATGATAGCGGCAACTATATAAGTGATATCTACACGAGTTTTCTATAAATAGAATTAATGTGTATAGTTAGTAAACTATTTTACAGCTATTGCAAGAAAAATTTGATGAAGTCAAGCCCGCGCTTACAAGTAATATGTTGCGATATTGCATAAGGAGATTCTAAGAGGAGAGACTTTTACGGTCGTGTTGATAAGACGGCTGGACTTAATACATGCCGCGAGATAATTTCACATGTCCGTCGACGTCAACCGACGTTTCTCGGCGTGTGATATCGGTCCAGGTTACGCAGCTCGGTAATGCTGGTACGCTGAAGTGAAGGATGTATGGAAGTGAGGATATATGAGGAAGGAAACAAGGGAAAAGCTAATAATGTTTGACAGTGTGAATCCACTCGTCAAGATTATTTTAGTTTAATGTATACTATTAAGTTTAATGTAATACTTTAGTAAGTTTAATACTTTAGGTTAATGTATAGTATTAAAATAGTTTGAACACTTTCCTCGATGTGTGAGGCAACTTGTTATCAAATGCTTTTAAGATTCAAATCATAGAAGTACCTACACTCAGAGGAAAAGGCATGATAGCGACAACTATATAAGTATATCTATATAAGACTATATAAGATATCTACACGAGTTTTCTATAAATAGAATTAATGTATATAGTTTAGTAAACTATTTTACAGCTATTGCAAGAAAAATTTGATGGGGTTACGAGAACTATATATAATTATATATTTAGAGTACAGAAACTATACATAATATAGTAACTATGCAGTAATTATATAATTTGTGCATAATTATCTAGCTTTAGTTGCAATAACTACAAAATAGTTTATTAAATTATATATATTAATTCTACATACAAAACTCGTGTAGATGTCACTTGTATAATTGCCATAACCATATTTTTTCTGTGAGTGTGGCCAATTGGAATTGTTCACAAGACGTTCGTGCAATTTTTAATGTTTCACAATATAAGTGCATGTACATTTACACTGTCAAACATTAAAAATTGAGTACGAATATCGCGATAGACTTTAATTTGCCAGATACTCGCGCTCTCTCTATGAAGGAACGTATTTATTATTGATATCCAGAAGTTAAGATCTTTCTTTTGGACTGGATCAGCTGTGTTCTAAATTGCATCGAGAAAACAGTGTGAAAACCGTTTTGAAATCAAGTGACAAATCCACCTTCCATATCAAATCGAGTTATTTAGGATATCTTGGGTTTGGTTTTAGTTGATCAGTTATTCTCGTTTTCTATGATCTGATACTTAAGAGGATACTATACCTGAAAAATTTATTTACAAAATACTGACTTTTCTTGCAAAGTTTATGTCATGTTAATCGTACTGAATTACAAATACGTTTACACGCCGAAACCACGTGCAAAAATGAATTAAAACATTACTTAATATGCAATGAAAGTGATAAAAAAATTTAAAAATTGACGAGCTCTCAGTTAGCGTAAATATTTATATAACACAAAAGTTCTCTAGTTCTTATATATCGAATATATATATGCTCCGTCCAGAAAAATTTCAAAGAATATAGCTAAACCTTCATAACTGCATTTAGATGTTTAAAAATATACGAAAAGTTTGCAAGAAAAGATTTTTGTGGTTACGTAATTAAATTTTTTGCTAAGTATAATAAAATAAAATATAGCGGCACACGTTTATACAAAATCCATATGTACAAAAAATATGAGAAGAATGACGTAATCGTGTCAGTTACCCGATATGACGTTTTGATGATCGCTTCTACATTATCAACGTTTTTGGAATTTGTCATCCACTTTGGCATTCTTTTAACATGTTTGCTATTAGCGTGCGTCATACACGTGTGACTCCAATCTCTTGTTTCAAGTTCATCCTTAGTCTAAACTTTCAATTTTATTTAACATATTCGCTACCAACATCACAACGATATTTTTTTGTATATTCATATATAAACAAACCAAATCTATTTTACACGATCACATGAAAACAAATGCAATTTGGAGGGAATTCTCCAAATAGCGAATATGTTAAGGGAATGCTGAGGCTGAAAACTTTACCAACAGAATACTAACATTTTTCCGTAAGGTTTATGTCGTATTGGTTGTACAGAATTACAAATGTTTTTACACAATGAAAGTAAGTGCAACAATAAATAGAAGCATTGTTCAATATGTGACGGAAAGGAAAAGAAAATTTTTAATGTAAAATCTGAAGCTGTAAATTAGCATATAATTGCCTAATCCAAAAGTTCATTGCAACTTGTACATACCGAAAGTGTAGATGCTCCAAACAGAAAAACTTTGAAGAACATTGCTGTACTTTCGTATCTGAATTCAGAAGCTTAAGAATGTCGGAAAAGTTTGCAGAAAGATTTCTACATATGCATGATTAGGTTTTCTTGAATATGATAAAACAACACACATCCGCGTAAGATCTATATGTACAAAAAAATACGAAAAGAATAGCGTGATTGTGTTTGATGACGATGGTTTTTACGTTATCGACATTTCTAGAGTTCGCCATCGACTCAAGCATTCTCTTAAGAGCCATTCGACAATAACAACTCGAGAGACAAGACTAGACGAGTTAGACTTTCGTCGAACGATCGAAGAATTCACACATCGCCCTTCTTCTTTATTAATATTTCCCAGTTGTAGCTTAGGTCTGTGTCGCTATGCGATGTTTTACATAGCATAGTCCGATAAAACGCGCACGTGTATTTCCGTCACCAAACGATTCTTTCCGAAAACTCGTTAAAAATGCATCGCCTCGCTATGGATCGCGCTGTGGAGCTCGTTCGCGCAAGGATAAATCAATGAGGCGCGACGTTCCACGACCATTGCTATCGTGACCGCTTAGAATATCGTTTGAGAAAACTTCGAGTGTCAGACGACTGTGTAATGACTGGATAATTAGTAGGCTATTATACGCGACTTCCGGTATTCGTCGTGTTTCGCAGGAATCGAAGAGCCGCGCCGCCGATGGTACTGTTGTATCGCTACTACGTGGCTCCTTGACGTTCCACGATCGTTATCGCATAAGGTTGTTTCGTCATAAGGAAGACGGATGATGGCGCGTATGACGCAAAAACTCCTCGGGACGACTTTACTGACGTAAAGTATGTGACTACGACGAGATTGCAATTACAGCGTTATCAACGCGCGAGGGATACGATGACAAGAAACGAGATAACGCATGACGGTATGAGTCAGTTTCTAATTTGTGTGATTGTATGTCGTAACATTCCAACGGAAAGACATTCTATTCGTGGAGTCGTTATGGAAAACACTTCCAGGATAACTGACAAACAGATGTAGTGCGATTGGCTTTGTAAAGATATGCGAATCAAGGATGTTCCATGTCGAATTGAATAGATAAAATTCTATGATCGAAACTTAACTTTTAATTAACAACTTAATAAGTAATATGGTTATTGGATATTATTGCAAATAATTTTGTACTATGGGAAGATGATACTGTATCAACATGCGATAACACACATAGAAAATTAATTTTTTTTTTAACAAGGCGAAATAATTGTAAATTCTAGAAGTTAGAAGTATTATTTCTCTTTCAAACGTATGATTCTAAATGAAAAAAGCAAAGTTTTCCAAATATTTTTTCTGATATACATTTTATATTAAAATTGAACA